CTAAAATCAAACGGAGAGAGAAGCTGAGATGAAAAGAGCCCACAAGCGAAGCGCTGAAGTCGGGTTGATAGTAAGGAGTTTAAGAAAGCCGCGACGGTAACGGCAACGGGAACGTCGCTGAACAAAAGGTTTCATGAGCAGAACATTGGTTGTGCACGTACGTTATAATTCTTGCTATTATGTCTCTCCGTTAGTACGCCGGCTGTGATTGGTCAATTTAGCGGGCCTCATTCTACTGTACGCCCGCTAAAATCGAAAGCTGTTTTTGTTGCCAAAATGTTTCTTGATTATCACTAAGTGTTCTTAACTTTTATAGCAAGTAAACGTTTAAAACTTTCTTTTACTTCTGAAACTGTGTATTAAAACCCGCTAACGACTTAAGAGTCACTTAACAACGATTTCAAATTGACTCGTTTTGTTTTCGAGGTGCATCAGAAATTTGAAGCCGTGCCGCGTGAATAGAAATCGTTCCCGAACGTGTCAGACACACAATAGAGATACAAAATATCTCACTAACCTCGTTTTCTCGGTCCGTATCGTAAGTTACGGATCCTTGTTTTTTCCCCTTCGATTCATGGCCCGCGCGCTTCGCGCTAGGGCCATAAATCGATGGGGAATAAACTTGGTCCGTATAACTTACAGTACGGCCCTCGAACTCGGTTAGTAAGAGACATGTACATTTTTTGCTATTCTCTACAAAACAACAACGCGAAATGACCGAATTCTGCGTTGTCTGGAGAACGTGAACAATGACGGCTAATTTTTTAAAAATTTCTATTTCAAATTGCTGTGTTCCAAAGTTAGTTTCATTTTTGTTTTAACAGTGACAGTGGCGGATCCAGACCTTGAACTAAGAGGGGGGGCGGGGAGGAAGGGGTGGTTTTGTTTTGCTCAGCCTGCCGGCTTTTCTTCCTTCTGTGATTTTTTCTTTTTTACCCCCCTAAAAAAAGGGGGGTGGGGGCGGGGGTACGGGCTCTCCGGGCCCCTCCCCTAGATCCGCCACTGAGTGATAAACAAAGTAAATGACTTAAGAGTACCACGAAATGTGTAGGTAAAATATAAAATCATTTTTTAATCTCCGTTGTCCTCGGCGTCGCTGTCGTGCTTTCTTAAACTCCCTATTAGCATTACATGATTACGCACAATCTTGCAGATAGTGGACCTATCCTAATTCTGCGGTGCACACAATTAACGTAACAATCCAGTCATTGAGTTATTTTTCAAGTAAGAGAACTTGAGGGTTTCTGAGTAGCAGACACTGAATTGCGAAAAAATAAAATATTTTTTAGGTTGTGGAAACTTTTTAGGAAAGGAAAGTGAAAGTACATGAACTTACAGGGCATATTCAATTTTTGTCAATAATTTTTTGGGGCACTTCCGCGGTAATCATTGCAATACATCGACGATCTTCGGTTTGCAAGTTTATATAAATCTAGAGAATTATTCCAACGACTTGCGAAAATGTTTCGGAAATAGCGTACAGAGAGTCTACAGGCGGATAGCGATCTTCGCTACCAAATCTCAGCTGGAAATTCGGCTGAAAATTGGTCCAATTGGTCTGGCTGGAGACGGACTTATTTGGGACGATTTTCAGTGCTACAGGCAAACTAGATCAAACTACAGAATGTCGAAAGTGAGACTATAAAGTGTGATGCCTTAAAAATAAGAAATCCTTTTATTTTCAAGATATATTAATTACATCATTGGCATTAATTTTCCGCTGGTGATTTTGATTTGCAGATGACTGTGTTTTATGGGATGAAAGGCGATCGAGTCATTTGCTTCCATATTAATGCCCGACGTTACTTAATATCGTTGGATCATCATGGCGCGTCCAATACACTACACAGACTGGAATTCATAGAAAATGGCAAAATAAAGTCGCACCTTCCTTGCGCTCGTACTCGGATCCGGGCTCGCTCGTTTGCTGCTCCTGGAGCAGAGGTAAGAGCTATGATCTTTTAGTATAAGGGTGTGTTCCTTTGGGGTGATCTGGATCAGGATCAGTGAACCAAGATCTGTCATCATGGTACATCACAGCAACCGATGAATCCATGACCAGAGTGGATTCATCGGTTCCTTTGATGTACCATGATCTAGACAGATCTCTGATCCTGATCCAGATCACCCCAAAGGAACGCACCCTAAATCTACTAGCGTTCTATCACGAGTGCCGTTTTCTGATTGGCTGCGCTACGCACTATCTGCTCTGTGATAGATAGCGAGTAGCGTAGTAGTGTGCACTTGTAAATAAAATGACGACCGCTTCTTGGCGTTTTCGAAGTGTCTGTGAAGAGGATTTAGATAAAGTTTTGAATGAATAGTAGATTTATACTAAAACAATTAGATTATTCGCTCTCGATTTCCATGCGTGATGGCTGACTCGGGCTGCGCCCTCGTCAACTGTCACGCGATAGAAATCTCGAGCTCATAATCTAATTGCTTAATATGGTAAAGGGATTCTTGAACAAGGTCGAATTGAAGCTGACCCACTCCGTTAACGAGATGGCGATGAAGCGTAAGGATGTATATTTAATTTTTGGATTGATCAGGGTTTACAATTTAAGATTCAAGATCCGTCAGGTAGTGATGCTTAGAGAAACCTACGAATTTATATAGGGTGCGTTCCTTTCAGATGATCCGGAACAAGGTCAGTGATAGAAGATCACTCAGATTATCAAGGAACCGATGAGTCCTTCAGTACCCAGAGTGGATTCATCAGTTCCTTTGATGCACCATGATCCGAGTGATGTTGGATCATTGATCCTGATCCAGATCATCCCAAAGGAATGCACCCTATCTCGTTCTGGGTGGATTCATCAGTTCCTTTGACGCACCATGATCTGAGTGATGTTGGATAATAAATCCTGATCTGAATCTTACCAAAAGAATGCACTCTTAAAATTCAAAACATCACGGCCGATAGTAATACCGGATTAAAACTGAGTTACACATGGTTTAATTTCTATGTTTCGTGTGAAAGTCAGGATGATGTTGTCAGTACATCGACTAAAGGAAAGTTAAAACCAAAACTGGAGGGCATAAAACACTATAGCGAATCTCATTGAAAATCTACAAAACTGAAACCAAAATTCAGGCTAATCCTGCTTTAGTTTACTCGTGTCATGAACAAACCAAGCCCATCTTGCCATATTCACTTTTTCGGTTACTCCGGGTTTCTAATGCGAAATTATTTCTACCACTCCTCAAATTTTGGAAGGTGTGGGGTGGTACATGGTGGTACAAGCAAAAGTGGACTTTGAAGTTATTCGTGTTTTCTTTGCCGTTGGTTTTTTGCCCGGCCGTGGCAGGCTTTTCTTTTTGAACTAGTGACGTCACACAGAAAGCAAGTGCACACAAATTAGTGCCAATCACGTGATGCAATCTCCATCTGTAAGTCGAAGATTTTCTCTTCCTCATGTCGAGGTATTCTAGTCCCCAGAGTTGCTTGGTTCTGACAGCTGCAAGGGACTAGGTTCAAGAGCAACGTGGAATGTATTGATCATCCGGAAGTTTCTCCCAACGAGGCTGATCACGTTCGATTTCATTGATCTATATAGTAACCTTGGCGTATAACAACGAGTTATGTTTTTATCACAACTGATGGTTATAGTGCTGGCGTCAAAAGCCTTTGAAACCGGGAAAAGGTATTCACTTTGTTATTTTCAACCAGGAATTTGCAATACACCGTCTGTTTCTTTGGTTGCTTTAAATAATTAATTTCGAGGTTCATTCATTTCCGCCGAATGTCAGTTTATTACGAACAAGGAAATCCACACTCCCGACGGTCTGAATTAATAAAAACGTGCTCACAAACATTGAGGCTTCTCTGAAGTGTACAATGGATCCTCGAACAGCGTACACCTTATTAGACAACTCACGGCGTCAGCCGGATCACGACTTCTTCATAGTTTGTAACCGGCGAAACAACATACTCCATCTGAGAAAATAGATGGCTGAGTAAAGAAATACGACTAAGAATAAGGCGAAACATACAAACCAGCTTAGCCCTTGAACTAATACGAAAAGCGCTATGAATATGCAATAATTTTTAAGACGTATGTCTGACGCGAAGGAAAAGGTTTATTAATGTGATATTGCGGTCTGTCAGCCAAACGGAAACCGAAGAAAACATCACTGACTACACGCTTGACTTTGGCAAACATCGGAATAATTACATTTTAGTTATTGCAGTTTTTAATTGTAGAGTCTTTTATTTGTTACTCTGTTGTAGTGAGTGTTAATGTATACTGGAAGAACTTCAGGTAACTTCAGGTTAAACTTAGCTTTGATTTGGTTATCAATGTTCACCGAAAACCAGAAAAAAAAAAGAAGCCGAAAGGAAACTGTGAAACAAAGGAGAAATAGAACCTTAAAGTACAGTCGCCGGGTAGTTACAAATCAGCGGACTCGAATTATTCATGAACTCTTTGACTCTTTGATGTTGAGTGATTTCCGAAAGGTAGTCAAGGAAATCTCGAGTATTAACTGAAGCTGTCTGGCGAAAGTAAAGGTGAAAGTCCCGTTCTTAAAAATCAGAGAGAAGCAAAGAAGCAACCCGTAGATTTTTGTTCAGGCTTTTAGTTAAATTCTACTTCAAATTGTTTTCATTGATACATAAAATTTATCGAGAGCCGGTAAAATAAGAAACAACAACGACAACAACAAAAACGTTTCCTGACCCAGCACTGATCTTTAGTCACTTTAAAAAGTAAATTTTAAATATTTTGATATATTTTATTAAAAAAGAGAAAAATATATGTAAACAGCCTGAAGCTTGCTTTCATTTCTTCCATTAGTGAATGTAAGTATCTGGTATGAGAAGTATTTTAGATCATTAAAATATATACGTGACGGTATTTTTACTTTTCATGGTGCAGTGGTTGTTTTTGAAGAGAGCTACGAATATTTTGTTACTTCTTTTTAGTTTACGTTATGACTGAGCGAAAGCGTTGCTATAGACTTTTCCGGTATTATCGGGATGACACATTTCCGATCTCACTTTGGATGCAAGGAAAAGTTCGATAATTTGCGTCAGGAAACTAGGGTTCGGCAGTTTCTGAAGTCAACAGAAATCTTCATTTCCATTTTGTTAAGATGTTTAATTTGTGAGCCCACTCATCCGTGATCTTCTATTCCTTCACGTGAATAACAAGCTCTAACGTAACCACGACTACGCTGCAAAGCTCTTCCCAGAGTCCTTCGAAGTCGGTCGAGTATACGCTCGAACATTCTAGTCACGTGACAAAACTCTTCCCCTGAAAAGAAATAATCATGGCGGTCGTCGATTCTCAACACACGTTAGCTTTCGATGATCTCGGGGAAAATTGCACAAATCACGAAGTGGAGGTAATTTTTGAACTGCTTTAAGTCTTTGCAAGACGACTGTGAAGCTTTCGCGAGGTTGTCTGGATTGTGTTTGTGGTTGATTTGGGTTTTCGTGCAGAGCTGGCGAGCAAGTGTTGTTTTGTTTTGGTGGTGTATGTATGGAAATGGCTAATTGTTAATCGACGAAAGCGATCTCCCTCACGTTCGGCCTTTCCAATTCATTTGCAGGTCAACAGCTTACAGCAGGTGATCAAGCTTACAAAGGAAAATCTGGACAAGATAGAGGGACAGTTTTTAAATGTGCAACATCCACCATCGATTTTCTTGGAGGTGGGTGACGATTTTTCGCTGGCTTGCTTGCAGAAAATGATTGGGAAATTGCCCAAAAGGCACAAGCAAGAGGCTTGCTCTAAATGTTTCAAGCTCTGGCAACGGTTTTAATCTTTTGAAATTTGATTTTTGTTTTATATTTGCATTTTATGTTAAATTTAAAACCTTCTGTAGCTTTAAGCTTCATTTGGCAGGCAGGTAGGATAATATGAATCGAAATCTCGGCCATAAGAAATTCGAATCGTGAGGGATCATTTGAATATTTTGCCTGTTTTTCCCGTCCAAAGTACAATGCTATTGTCCACCGATTTTTAATTATTATTTTATTTTTTATCCGTATTTTTTTGCTTACTACATGGGTTGTGTTGACCTTGCGTAGATATATGGATGTACAGACTTGCAAGCTTATTTAATTTACGAGGAATGAAGTCACTGCTTTTTGACGTATTGTAAACTAGCTGCGCGATAAGTTTTTCAAATTACAAACTTCCGTGAGCTCAATTGCACTTGTATTTTCAAAAAGCATATCATAGCATTTGATACAGCTCAAGTCAAAAAACACTTTGAACGTTCGGGCGACTGTCGGTTATACAGCAGCAAAAACCACCTTTGCTTTGATTGCTCTTCGCAGAATCTTTATTTCAACTTTGATTTGAACGGAATACTGTTCCATCTCTTGATGTAAATGTTGATTGATCTAACTTTATCATTGCTAGATAATAGCTGAGGAAAGCATTCTGTGAAATTCTCTTGCCGATTTTGATCATAAATTCGTATTGTTCGCATTGTTTTTGAGTCAGACGTTTTTGATGCTAGATATTATGCGACATATTTTGGTCCTCATCTTTTATATTTATGCGTTCACTTTACTGCCTAATTCTTGTTTTTGTTATAATTTTTGTGCTAGAGAAATTGCATACAGTACAATTCCGTTTTCTGATGTTTTGCTCCAAGATGATTATGATAATTCAAGTTTAGCTAGTAATTGCACCGGTGAAAGATTATTAGCTTTTCTCCTTTCAAGTGACGATCTCGCTCGAGCATAAATTTCCGAGACTTTCGAACTTTACGTTTTCAATTTAATGTATTGAGGGCTTTTATTTGACCAATCTAAACGGGACAGACATTGGTAAACCATTTAATATGGTCACTAGTCACTAGTTTACCAAGTCTCTCAGACAGTTGTTTACCTTTTTCTGCCCCTTGTTGTGTGTTGTCATCATTTTACTACCGTTTTTACGTTTGACCAGTGTGAAAACGTATTTGATTTGCTCCCACAAGGAATATTTGGACTTGAAAAATAAACTCAGTGAACTGAGAAATAGAGAGAGATTCCTTTTGGAAAGACGAACAGCAACATATTCAACATCATCTGCGGAGCCCAGCCCTCCTTGCACAACTCCGTCCTCCTCTGGTGCTACATCCCCGATTCCAAGTTCCAGGAGCAGTTTTACTGGAAGTGATCACCCATTTTCACCTCCTCTTCGCGCGCATATAAGAGTACACCTCCCCAATCATCAATACACTGTGGTAAGTATTGGCTTGTGTATGTATAGATTCTAAAAGGTTTTGGTTATGTCAACATGTGCAGTAAACATTGGAAATGAAGCCCTGGGTGAATACCAACGCCCACTTCTATGAATAAACACGTGGTGTGAAACACATAAACTGAGTGGGTGTTAATTGTGACGTGATTGGCCAGCTGACTTGTAAAGTTTGAAGGTGCAGTTAATGAATGTTAACAGAGTGAGTTTTTTGAAATAAAGCCATACTTAATAATTATGGTTTAGTAAAATCTTTTCTATTTTGAAACAAATTTAGTTCATTGCTAAACAGGTAAGAAAACCAGGCTTTTTTTTCTGTTTAATGTAAGGACCTCTTTAAATCTAGTGATTTGGTTGGTGATGATGATAAAACTTTATTTTAGTGTCAAGACCTCATGACTTAGAGGCTTTTTGTGCTATACCTTCATGTTTAGTTGTAATGGAGATCATTAATTTTGTTGGAAAGTGTTTTTGTTCTAATGTGTTATCTTTAGGGTAATAGGTTGAAGGGAGAGGTTTTCTTATTGTTTGACTGTTTAAAATACAGTTAATTACAGTTTAACAGAATTAACAACAAGACGGACAAGTCTTATGTTTGCAGTCAATGGCATTTAGACACACTCATGCTCCAAGATTCCACATGTTCTTGAGCCAAAGGGCATTGTAGCATTTTTGCATTTAGTTAGCATTTTATTGAGCATGGGGATCCTTCTTAAAGGCTGTTTCCCCCTTTTGTTCCCTTCGGTGTAGGGGCTTATGGCCGGGATGCCAGGATTTGCCAGCCATAGGAGTAGTTTCCATCTAGGAACTGACTACCAGTAGTGGAAGGTGCTGGAAGTCTGAGGCACCTAACCTCCACTTTGCGAGGCAGTTGTTAATTTGTTTTAAAACAGAAAACAAACACTGTAGTCTCAATTAGTTTTGCAGTCTTCACTCTCGCAGTCCTCTTGGTGTGATTTAATTGAAAAAAGTCCTCCCCCTAATGTATATATAGAGAGAAAACAAAGTAGCCTGCTTCCTTGCTTCGTTCTTCTAGCTCTGTCTTATTTTCTTCAACCAGGTTAAGTGCAGACCAGATGTGACCTTGAGAGAGGCGTTAAATAAAGGAATGAGAACAAGAGGCTTGGCACCAGAAACATGTCTCATATGCGACTTTAATAGCAGGTGACTATCCTTTGTACAAGTGGTTAACTGGTACATCAGAATCATATGTATTGCATATACATATTGAGGTTGTAGTCATTGCAAGAAGTTGAAATGCGGGGTAGGGGGGTGGCAAGAGAAATTCTAATATGGTCAGGTAACCCACAGCCAGGTTTCAACATCACATGTTCACTTGTTATAAGTCATTACTCTTGAACTAATGGTGCATAAAATGGACCAATATTACAGTGGATTCCAGATTTCTCGAACCCTCAATTTTTCAAACTTTCTAATAACAGACCAAAAGTCATTCCCTCTCCTCAGTTGAACACTGTAATTTTACCCCCAATTTCTCAAACTCTTCGAGTTTTTGAACAAATTTTTGTTTCCCATGGAGGTTTGAGATGGTTTCAATAGATGTCTGGTCTCTGTTGTGAACATGCGCCCTACATTATTAGCTAATGGTATTTTGAGATTATATGTTGATGGCATGAAACCATTTTAGTTTTCTCATGGATTTCAAATTCCAAAAATACCTCAAGTAAGTGAGCAAGCGATATTGTTATTAATTTAAATGTATGAGGAAGAACAATATCAGCCTGTTAACATGTCATACTGTCATTTAATAGGCGAGTTTTTTACGTTAAAATGCTAACTTGGCGGCAAAGTGTGGGGGATTAAAACATTTAAGAAACTGCGTCAATATTAGGAGGTAATTAAGTAATTTCTTTAATTTGTTTTGCTCCCACAAGCCCTGAAATCAATTAAGAATATTGAAATTGGGATATCTTTATTGCATAATGTGAATTAAAGACCCTGTTCAAAAGCCAAAATCATAATTATTTTTTGGCACTAACTTACTTGTACATTTACTCTACCAAAATTTTTAGATAACTTAGGGTATCTTTCAGTGACCTTAGCTTAGTGGTATTGATATGGTGTCTGTTGAGCTGTGGCAATCTTTGGTTGATCTCGGGTATTCTTAGGTTATCTGCAGACTTTAATAATTGAGGGCTTTTGTTGAAAAAGGACATATATAGCATTTTGGGCAGATTTTTATTTTTTGCAGGATTGAGCTAATTTTGGCTGACTGACTTGTTTTGACATGAAAAGCATTGTTCTGTAATTGTTTTTGTTGATTTGTGCTTCGTTTTCCAGGAATAACCTATGCGAAAAGCTCAGCTTTCCAAGGGTATCTTTTGGAGATCTTTTGTTAAATGAAAACAAAAGAAACCTTTTGTTTTGAAAAAGATGAAGTCACCGAAGCATGGCATTTGCCACTAGTTTTATTATTCATATAATTGCATTTTTCTCTTTCTGTAGTTTTGTTAGCGCAAGCGAATAAGGCACTGAACAGGCTGGATTCGAGTTTGTTCTGTTGTGACACCAGTTCGATACGAGGTCGGTCTATTTTTTTCCAGTCTATTTCTCTACTTCTTTCAAAAATGAAAACATCTATTTGAGAAAATGGTGTTGTCAAAGCTGCTAAAAGTAACCATTTAAGTTCGCGTCGTGTTGAAATCCTCCTTCGAAGGATTTGCTCCAAAAGATGCCACTTGGAAAACTGAGTTTTTTTGCATACGTTATTTCGCGAAAACGAAGCACAAATCAACAAAAACAATTAGCAACAATGCTTTTCATGTCAAAACAAGTCAGTCTGCCAAAAATAAGCTCGATCCTGGAAAAAATAAAAATCGGCCCAAATGCTATATATGCCCCTTTTGCATGAAAACCTTCAATTGTTGGAGTAACTTGGGTGATCCTTGTTAATCTGTAATTTTGAGCAATCTTTCTGTGATGTGTCCCTGAACTGATATTACATCAGTAACATAATAGTGTTGTGACACTTTGGAGTGGTATACATAATAGTGTTACAGGGACGTAGCCAGGATTTTTCAAAAGGGGGGGGGGGCGGTCACACTGTGACAGGGTGAGGTTACTCACCAGATTGTCATGTTGTTTTTGCCACCTGTTGTAGGTTTTTTGCTTATAAAAGGCTGCAAAAGGAGAGTCGCGGGCACCCCAGAACTCCCCCCTAGCTACATCCCTGTGTTAAATACTCCACAAGTCACTGTTGTTTTTGTGGTTTACACATGAGCTTCTTGGGAAGTGTATATAGCAAGAAAATACAAGTGAAAACTGAGATATTCCATGGCATATCACAAGAAAGTGTCGGACAACTATTTTATACCATGCCATAGAAAATACAGTGGCCAACACAATCAGTGTGACATACATGAAGCGCACGATGGGAAGGTTGGGTGTAACAAGTATACAACAGCTTTCCTGTAATCTGATTTGCTGTATTTGCTATGGCATGGTATAAATTGTGATATTGCATCTGATCTCTTTACCAGTGGTATTGTATCAGTGATTTAAGTGTCTGTTTATTTGTTATTACTACAGGGAAATTATCGGTTGGGACACTGAATTGTCAGAATTCATGGAAGGACAAGTGGTAATAACAGTTAATCTTGAACATTTTTCACCTTTATGTTTTTTCTGGGTGCCAGTCTCGTGATTGTTACTGTATTTAAGGATTTCATTCAAATAATAGGCACCCCTTGTTGTTTACAACATCCCAAGTTAAAAAAAAAAAAAAAAACACCCCAAGTGACATTTTTTCCAGCATAACAAGTTTAATGTTATACTTCTCTGTTACACTGGCCTCTTGCTCTCTCACCATCCTGATCAAAATCTTCATGCAATCCTGGCCCAATAATGAATGATTTCTACATCTGCCAACTTTTTGCAAGTCACAGGCCTGAGATTGTTTCCCTGAGAGTGCCAGGATTTTCACAAGCACAAACATGCCTGAAGATTTCCAAAGATGTTTCAAACGCATCCTGGTCTCAGTCCACAGGGGAAGATCTAGGGAGAGGGTGCAGGGGTGCATTCCNTCCCCCCCTGAGATGAAGCCTTCTCCTTCGTATTTGCTTTTAAAATTTGTTTACCTCATCAGTCAGTTACATCATTCCTTAGTGGTACACCCCCTCCTAAGAAAAATCTTGGATGCACCCCTATGCCAGTATTATTTTATCCTTTGAAAATTGGAGAATTGAGACATGGTACTTTCATTTACATTTACCTTGTTTTCTTTTCTTCCATTGGCAAGGCATGAGAGGCGGCAGGTATAAATTTCCAGTAGTAAGACCTTCCCACACAGCACTGGGAGCCATGCCAAACTGAACCATGTAGCCTGACTTCTATTAATGTAACAACGTAGCTGTCTTACAATGACACAAAAAAGTGGCTAGAGAATAATTTCATGGGTGGGTGAGTGGGGCATGTCAGGCAATGGTGGATGGCAAAACAAAAACTGAACCGTACACAAGCCACGTGACCTGAAACCCCCCATGCACATGTACTCAGGCTTCCAGCTGTACGTGAGAAAAACGTTTCCTGCTTCTTTTGTTCTTCAGCCAGGGGAAAACCACACTTTCTATTTGAGTTTATAACAGAGCAAGTGACTTACACTGCTGGGAGGGATATTGTGACTCTCCTCAGGGGAGGGGACACTAGTTCTTCATAGGTACCCTCTGGAATTGTCACTGGCATCCATTTAATATAGGTGGAGAGAGGTGTTGAAGTGTCTTGAACAAGAACAAAATGCATCTACTAAATAATGCACAGACTCATACCTGGAGAGTATCTCTTGAAGCAAAATGCAGTGCACTAACCTTTTCTGTTTTTAGGATTGCCTCCCATGTATTAAATAAGTAAGCTAGATACAGTTCATACAGCTGTATTCTTTATACATGGTGACGTACAGTTTGTGATGGTGATTAAACATTATGCACATTCCAAGACAGGGCTCGAAATTGCGACTCACTGGTCGCCAATGCGACCAAAAATTGAGCACTGGC